TGGTTTTTCCGTTCTAGGTGGAAGAGTCGGACATGGTTCTGGAGCTTTGGTTGGACGTGGAGTTGGAGTTTCCTTTTTAGGTGGAAGCGTTGGAATCGTTTCGGGACCTTTTGTTGGTGGGAGAGGTGCAATAGTTGGTTTTTGTTGCACTGGTGGTATTAATGGACAAGGTTGTGGAATTCTTCCTGGTTTTACGGGTGAAGGTGTTGAGGGTAATGTAGGCTTTTCTTGCTTAGGAGGTAATACAGGCTTTTCTTGTCTAGAAGGTTTTTCCCATGGTTTTGGGGCCTTGGTTAGAGGTGGTTGCGGAGCTATAGGTTTTTCCGCCTTAGAAGGAAGGGTCGGACAAGGTTCGGGAGCTTTGGTTGGAGGAGGGGGTCGAGTAGTTGGTTTTTCTGTTTTGGGTGGTAAGGTTGGACATGGTTCTGGGGCTTTAGTGGTAGGTGGTGGTGGTGTTTTTGGTGGGAGAGTTGGTGGCGGAAGTTTGGTAGTTGGTTTTTCTGTTCTAGGCGGAAGAGTTGGACAAGGTTCTGGAGCTTTGGTTGGAGGTGGAGGCTTAGTAGTTGGTTTTTCCGTTCGAGGCGGAAGAGTCGGACAAGGTTCTGGGGCTTTGGTTGGAGGCGGGGGCTTAGTAGTTGGTTTTTCCGTTCTAGGTGGAAGAGTCGGACATGGTTCTGGTGGGGGTTGAGTTGTTGGCTTCTCTGTTTTCGGCGGGATTGGAGTTGGCATTTCCGTTGTCGATGGATGTGTCGAACATGGTTCTGTTACTTTGTTTGGTGGCGCCAAAGTTGTAGTAAGATCTATCACTTTCTCTGTTGGTTTTTGATTTTCAGGGTACACAATAAATATGCTGCTTGGCCCATTAGGAAATTGACAAGGTTCTTGAGAACAAGGAGGATTTTGGATAACATTTGAAATGGCGCCTATGTGATTGATACTTGGCGACTGATGTATTAAGTAACTAGGATTGCCAGACGCAACTGTAAAACTTGGAGAAAAGGTTTCTCTGTTATGGAAAAACGGTATGTTGGGTCTTCTGTATGAATGGTATTCGTAAGCCTGTGGTTTTGACTCACCTGCAAAAAATATAATACAAATTAATAAGAAAATACATCTTATTGATATTTAATTTAGAATGAAATCGCTATGACAGCTTTTTTGCCATTTTTATAATGCAAAAGTAATTTAACAAGTTGGTTTTCTTTCACGTTAAAACTGTAAAACATCGTGCGGTTATTCGATACCATTTTATAGAATTAAGATGAGTACTTAATTTCTAGAATGGTAGAAAATAAGTACTGGCATTATATATACAACATAGTAAATTACTACATTTCTAGACGATACCGCCCGCACACAAACACACTCGTTTTTAGACAGTAAAAGCTTATATTACATTTAAATTTTGCCAAAGTTTTAGTAAAGTAAAATTAATTTTGACAAGCAAATATTACTCACCACACGCTACGAATGCCAAAAACAACAATAAAATTTTATTACTCAACATAATTCCAAAGGAATCACCACCATGTGTGAATACGAACACTTCGCTGAACTGCTTGATGTTTCCAAAATGTTTTCTACTTTTATATAAAATGCCGCGAATAATTATAACGAGAACAGTTATCGGCGTCGATTTTAAAGATTGCTAATTATAATATAATGAGTAAAAGTGGTTTTCTATGTTGAACCTGTTTCCATCAATGTAACGGCTGTTTTAATATGTTATATTCATTACAGTAAGTCTTTCGCAACAGTTTTACAACACAAAAACGAGATTATGTCATGGAATCTCGGCGTTGCTGTGAATAAAAATTAAATTAAAAGGGATAATACGTATTTAAAACAGTTTATTGAGAGTAAACTTAATTGTAAAAATAATTACAATATTTAATTAGGCGTTATTAATCTGTTAGGCGTTCACGTCCTGTATTTAGAAAAAAAAAGACATCACATAATTATTGTACATAAATAATAAGGTAACAGGAAGACGTGCACAAATGCATCTAATAGTAAAGTAAGGTAAGGTAAGTAGCCTTTAATTATGTCCCCCTGCTAGGCAAAGGCCTTCACTGTGCAGAGGGTATAACGTCACCACGCGACCCCACTGCGGTGTGAAGTCCGCCAGACTTCACACATATCTTCGATTTTAATGATATAATACCTATGCAGCGTCATATTTCTTCCTAGTTAGGTATAGCGGTTATGTAGCAAAATAACGTAAAATAAAGACCAGTGTGAACAAACAGTATTAGTTGGTGGATAATTTTGTGTTTGATTCGCTTATTGTGGTAGCCTAGAGACCACATTATTAGTGATTGAAACGTATATCTCTGGTGTCAAGAGCGTCCATGGACGGCGGTACTTGTATACTTTTATCATCAAGCGAACATTTAGCTCAGCTTCCATTCCTTTAAAATAAAAAAGCTACCACGTCCGCCCACGGACATAGGCAGAGAAGCCGCAGAAGCGTTGTCAACCTCTTAAGTATGAATCAGTTGTGTAAAAAGTGTTATTGTTAAAACTTTTGTAAATCAATGATTTATATTAATTTAGTCTACTTCATACTTTAAGGCTACTTTAAAAAAATCATCGGTACACATACAACAGAAGAGCTAAGGGAGGTATTTCGAAACAATATTACATAAGACAGCAGTAACCTGGTGAATTTTTTTCTCCGTAGTCTTAAAAATGTTATTAATGACTTATTCGATTATGTGACATAATACTTAACATTCCAAAAGTACAAAATGACTTCAAATTGATTGGTCTTTTAATAAGTTCACTATCAGTATTTATAAATGGGGATGACAATGACTTAAATTTAAGTTAAATGTTATTTTAATTTTAACCTGTTAAGATCTTCCGTTTATTATGTTTTTTTTTTCTCTATTCTAGAGATATGTACCTTCTCTTTCATTTATAAGACAATAGTCTAAATATTTTCCCTTTGCGATTGCGATTGTGCAATCTTTAACTTTTCTAAATGGAATATGCAGATGTGTATTGTGTGTAGTACACACCGAATCTATCCCAATGCCGTATTGAATCCCGCGTTAGATTAAATTTGGTTTACCTTTTTTTATTTTTTACGTGGGAAAAATCCTTTATGGATCCCCTGCCACCGGATGGGTAAGGGGCAGAGGTATGTGGGTGTCCCAGTCTGAAACGGTTACCCAATAAAAAACCCACGTTGATCCTGTCTCTGTCGCATCAGTCGGGGACACGGGAAAACGAAGAAGCAATCTTTCGCGAAAATTTGCTCTAACATGAGCACGTTTCTTCTTACCGTTTCAAGCTTAACTGCGCTTATATTCGCAATTAATCAATATATCCGCAGTAATGAAGATATTCGTAGTAGAACAAAGGTTACCGACATAGTTCAGAGGATTAGTAAGCTGAAGTGGCAATGGGCTGGGTATATAGCCAAGTGATAGATTGAAGTCTTGTGCAAATGTGAGAGAGCTTGATGTATGCAGGTGGCTCAGGATCGTGGTTAGTGGTAGTCTGTGGAGGAGACCTATGTCCAGCAGTGGACTCACTTAGTACCATTACCACCTGAAACTTTGCGCAAATTTCTCGAGTTCCTTATACTTATACTGTGGTTCCTTATAATTATACGCCCATTCGTGCAACAGTTCTCTGCTGCGCGAATGGGCTGCGATTCAATTTTTTTTCGATTATTATTTACTTATTATAATTTTGTTGTCTTAATATATGTTGTCTTATTATTGTAATTATAATTCACTTGCATTACGAGGAAAGTGATATTGTGTAGAGTCATTTTAAAATAATTATTTATTATGAACTCTTTCTTAACAGCCAAACAAACCATTACAAGTTAAGTAATTATAATAAGTTATAGTACACAATTGAAAGGAGATTTGAGAAAAAAAGTACCCGCATTAATTAATAATTCAGAAAAGCATACGACCAAAGTTAAATGGAAAGGAAAAGCCGAACTTTATACAAAGGACCGATGCTATAAAATTAGTCTTTCTGACACATTATATGTACCTGATTTGTCGAATAATTTAATTTCTACAAGCAAAATTACGGATCATGGCTATAAGGTTCTATTTGAAAAGGAACAAGCCAATGTCACAAAAGGCGGGAAAACTGTATTAAAATCTAACAGAAGAAATGGATTATACTATCTTGAATTTGATAAACCGGAAGAGACAGCAAACTTCACGCCTAGTGATGAAAGCGAAATTATGAAATTGCACAAGAAATTAGGTCACATCAGTGAAAGAGAACTAAAAGAAATGGTTAAAAATAAAATGATGCGCGGACTCAAGAAAAAACTTTGGGTACCTGTGAGACTAGTATCAAAGGAAAATTTTCCACTCTACCATTCCAAAGCCATGGACAAATAATCTCTACCGAAGTACTCCAGATAATTCACAGTGACGTGTGTGACCCATTTGAGAATGAATCAATGGCCGGATCAAAGTATTTCGTAACATTTATTGATGAATAATCGTCAATAAATGTTACGAACTGTGTATATTTCTTAAAAGAAAAGAGCGAAGTAATCGACAAATTCAAGGAATATAAAAACTATGTTGAACTGTTTCATAAGAAGAAAATTAAAAATCTACAATCTGATAATGGAGGCGAATACAGGTCTAAAGCGTTTGACCTACATAAAAACACTTTGAAACTGAAAGAAAGAAGTGATATTGTTGCATACTCTGTTGAATGACAATGTGAGATTGCTTGTGAAGAGACAGGTTATCTAATATTATGTGTGTATAGACCTCCCTCATCAGACCTTTTGAATTTCTTGTTAATTATTAAAGATGTATTAAGTAAAATATTTAAAATGAAAAACCAAATAGTCATCTGTGGTGATTTCAACATTGATTTACTAACTAAGATTCACCGAATAAAGTAAGATTCCTATCACTTCTTGAAACTTTTAATATTAATTGCATCTTCAATGAACCAACAAGAGTAACATCCTGTGCCTCATGCATAGATAATATAATAGTAAATTGTAAAATTATTAATCAAGTAATATTGAGTGGCGTTAGATCAGATCATAAAGCCCTTAAAATAGAACTTCACATTAATAACAGGAATAATGTTTTATAAATGAATGTAGGCTTGTAACTAAAAACAGAATTAAGAAGTTTAGGGATAGTATTAAGTATAAACTACCATTGCTAAAATTAACCCTTAATGATCCTGATGGTGATTTCAATACCCTGTCTAGTATGATTAGCAGAGAATTTAATAAAAATCTGCCAAAAAAGAAAACAATAACCTTAAGCAATAAACTTTCATTCAGTAAATGGGCGACTAAGGGAATAAGAAAGAGCAGGGATAGACTTTATGATCTATACAGTAATAAATCATTAACTTGTGATATCAAAATTCTCAAGAACCTATTGCTAAAAATAACAACAGAAGGAAACTTTACTATGACCACATTAAGATCAGGACACATAGTGAAAGTAATACCTGCAAGCATAGAAGTATACAAAAGTATACGAGAAAAATTCATTACAGCAATCTTTTTGCACTTTTTCTACATGTTTTAATGTTCAATCTTAAGGGCAGAGATTAACACTATAAAAAACTTTAAAATTTATAAAAAGCAATGGCGACATCTCTCGTTCGAATTATCGTTGTAAAATGATATTCGAAATTGTTTGTATGCTGGAATGGATATAACAATAGATGCATCAAGCATTGCTTCAAATGCTAAATAACAATGTGGAAAGAAGGCGTTAAGATTTTCGTCGCTGTGGCTATCAGCCGTTTGGCTCAGTGGCTAGAGCGTTAGGCCGCGAATGCCGAAGACGTGGGTTCGATTCCCACAGCGACGACAATCTTTTTGTACTTTTTCTACATGTTTTAAAGTCTTAATAATATCATTCGGACCTATGTGGCAAAACTTAAAATCTGGAATGGAAATATTAACATATTTATCCAGATATGTTGCTGCCTCTGTGGGACAGTGTTGCAAATATTGTATAATACTAGGCTGAACGTGAGCGCCCGGACACTGAGCTATCACGGCTATTGCAGTTGAAGAGCTTTAATGTTATTCCTGGTTTAGTACCTGTCCTCCGTCTAAAGAAGTTCAAACGAAGTTTTTTTAATAATTCTTTACGGCTACTTCAAGGCTAATTTATTCTAACGCATTAAACATTTTACGAAAATATTGTAATAGGTAAATAATTATCTTTTATTATGATAGTTAGATATCTTCCGATAGAGCCGTGTTGTTCACTGCCGGGGCGTTAGATTTTTATTCAGTAACCTCAAATAACCTGAGTTCAATTCCCGGTGCCGGCACCAATGAAATTGTTAATTACAAGTATAAGCCCTGACTTATGACGAGCTCAGTGTTGAAGGAGAATATCGTGAGGCCTGCATATATTCGAAATAATAACAAAAATAATCCTAGATAGGTGCTAGTTCACAATAGGCGTGCTGGTGTATTTCTTTGCCAAGCAGTGGAACATACACAAGCTATATACATATATTTGTCTTAATTTTTAGCTTCGATCAAAATGTCACAGAGCCAGCCTACGCCGTGACGTAGAGTGTTTCTTTTTTCTGTGTTTCTTTTTTTTTAAAAACACTGCCCTTACTTTAGGATAATATTAATTTCAGACAAATTTCAGACAAACACCCAGTGGTTCTGTGAACTTAGGTTTATAGTCTTGGGATCGGTATGCCACTGTATTGTTACGCCACTGCTATATGAAAATTGAACCTATCATCGGTCTGTCTGTTACAGGTAATTTCACGATTTTGTTTAACTTTTGGTGTAATTCTCAACAGTTCTAGATAACACATATTGTTAATGCGCCTTTTTAATTTTTGTTTTTCATTTCTTTCAGGAAAAAATAACTATTTTAATGGATAAATTTATTTTATTAGAAAAAAGTGTTAGAGGCAATGTCATTTCCGGCGAGTAATTATGGTTCCGGCGAATAATTACATATAATTAAAATATTATATAAAATTATAACATTTTTGATATTTTTTTCTTCAGATTTAATATTCTTTGCATGTGTATGCAAACACCGATTGCATTTTGGTGTAGATTCATAACGAGAAGAAAAAAACATATATTTGTAAATCAATTTATTTTGAAAGAGAGACATGAGAAATGTATATAAGTGAATTAAATAATCTATTGAAAGGTAAAGACAATTGCATCGAAGTGAATTCAATTGTATACTATTCAAGCGTATACGGGACGATTTTCGCAAGGGCCGCTGCTAACCAGGTCATGAGTTGACGCATCGATTCACAGAGACGTCGAATTTGAAGCCCAGGTCGCAGGTGAGTAAACGGGCACCACCACGGTGGCAAGCGATGAAGGAGTAGCACTTTCCGGGAATACTGCAAGTGATAGATTTTTGTATTAAGTTAATGACACTATACAAGGCCTGTGTCGGACCTTTCCAGTTTACGATAGTTTCATGAAATCAAACGGTTTGATTATGTTAATTATACAAATGATTAGGTTAATTAGAAAAATCAAACTTCGATAAGTTTTTAGTTAATAAGTTTGAATAATTAAAAAGCGAATGAGATTACTCTGTGTAAATTAATGGTGAACAGAAATTATCTTTTTCAATTTTCATCTAAGAGTATTCTTGCAAAAACCTTTGTTTCGCTTTGGTTGACATTGGAAAATTTTAATACATTGAAGATAAATTAATTTAGAATTGAGTTTATAAATTAGCAATCTTACATTGGAACTATGCTCATAAAAGATATTTAATTTTTGTTTTATGTATTTTCCAGTACCGGTTTAAAAGTGAAATTTAAAATGCATTTACCCGAAGTTCTCAGTGATGTCATATCCATACTCGTCGACAGATCCAGGTGGACAGGAATATCCAAGGAATGCTGAAGTAAGAAAAATCATAACATTATATCTAAAATTCTCACATTGCCAGCAAGAAACTTTGACGGTATTCAACGGGTCGTCACAGTTGATTGATCGGAATTTATAGTACTGTACCTACATCGTATTGAACGAAATTAAAAATTAATAGGAGAAATTTAGAGGAAGCTAATAAATGATGTAGTGTCGTGTAGAATACGATAAATTAGTACTTACTTTACTTATGTCTATAGCTTTAAAACAGAAATGGAACCTTATATAAGCTTACCTTCAGCATCGCATGCGGGTACCAAAGCTGGCCAGTCACATCGGCCACTTTCCGGGTTGAAAGCCAGGCCCGATGGGCAAACCTTTTCAATGGCAACACCCTCCACGCATTGGCGGTATTTGCCACAGTCGCTGCGAGTAGCTAGTGGCGATTCAAAGAATCCGTATTCATGGGGGCATTCCTGGGTAGATCGCGCTGGCTCTGAAATTTTTATTTTAAAGTAACCGTTGACGTATCAAAGTGCCTTTTGCAATGATCCCATTATAGAAACTCACGAGGGACATCGTTTGCGCCGCAGGGCACATCGCTTGGATATCCGCAAGGATAAGTAGGCCATTTAGCCTCTGGATTAAAGTGAAGACCATCTGGGCAGGATCTTTGGAATTCTTGCCGTTCCTTTAAAATAAGAAATAGATAAAATGCCAGGAATTGTTAGGCTAAATTTTTAGTCTACTGCATAAGGTTTAAGCAAATTTTTTTTCAGGACTTACAATACATTCGATGAAGGTGTCGCAGCTACCTTCAAGCTTTTGGTACGTATTTGTATCGCCGCAGTATCCTTGACCTGTTTTTATAAATAAATCAAAAATGTATTTCTAAGAAACAAATAATGAACAACGATAAACTTGAAGTAATTTTTTCTGCATAGTCCATAATTGATACAGCTTTGCCAGAAACTAATGCCATGCGCATTTAAATTCAGACATAAAAGCTGAAGTTAAGATACACTTTTTTCAAAAACTGGATACTAATTTAAATAATAGTTAAGAAGGTATGGTAGAAAATAGTAACCTTTAAGAAAAGCCAATAGTTATACTTACATGACACTGCCACAAACAGAGCTGAGAAGCACAGTAAGATGAACATTTTTGTAGATTTAGGAGACAAGTGATAGCATTACTTTCCACGCAGGAATATTTATATAAAAACAGGTCGTTAATTTGACATTACTAAGTGAAATTGTACTTACATAAACTAGTTTTTATCTAAATATTTCTCTCATTTGTCTATCGGGACTTTCCACAGCCTCAAAGTAAATTTGAATAAAATTGTTTATTAACCATGCAGTGAGTTACTGCACGTGCCACATTTTTTTAATGGTATATTGTTACGTATAATTTGTATTCAGCATAAAAATTTATAACAATAAAAATTTAAAAACACATTTTTATAGAGCTGGTAGATAACTGTTACTTTCAAAAGTTTAGTGTTTATTTTGAATTTATTTTGCATATTTGTTCTTGTTGTCAATGGTTTACTTCACTTGATTTATTTTTGTTGTGCAATGGTTAGTTTACTTCACTTGATTTATTTTCCGTTATATTTGAATATAGAATTAAGTTTTATAATTTTTATTCAGTATTTAAATCATTTCGTCACAGTTCAGTATTATATTTAGAAACATCTTGCCACATTAAGTGTGTGTTAAGTTAATTTGATTTATGCGCATTCAGAAGTCAATCCATTCAGATATTGACGGAAATTATTTCATAATTCAGGTAACGAATATTTCGTTCTGATGTAATTTTAATAACAAATTTTTATAACCGTTCAATAATTTCAAAAATATTTTGTATACGTGACTGTGCCACGCGCCTTATGAATAAATCAGTGCATAGCGTATACACGTCCTCAAGTTTTACTTAATTGTTATTGAAAGTAGATAAAGTAATACGCAGCTCAGAGTTAGTTAAGTTTGTTAACATTACATATTTTATTGGAATGACGTCATCGATTACGGAAAAATTACACAAACTAGTTAAGTAGAAAAGACGTCATAATAAACAAATATTGACGAACTTATGTATTAGTATGTGTCGATTACATTTAACTTTCCGTCGGGTAGGATTTAAAGCAATTTTTTCCGAAAAAAAAAATTTTCCCGATGTCGCATGTTTGTGGGTTCCCCACCGATCATAAATCGGCAGATTTATCGAGAGAATTCACGTATCATTTGTGTCATTTTTTATGTTTCTGTATATTTTCTATTATGTTTTGTTTTATGAAGATGGCTAGCGGGTTGGCGTTTTACCTGATGCTTGTCTTGTATTAACTGATGTTTTTGCTTTCAGTCCCGAGACTATTAAAGCTTCATCGGACGCAGAACCGGTGGGCTAGCCAGAACCCACGGGTTTGGACCCTCCGCTATGGGTAGGGTCGCGCATGTGCTCATGCGTGCGTTTAACTACTATGGTGTGTCATCTAAGGGCCGTCGAGGTCGCCGGTTCGGACCGAGACCCCGACGGCCGTCGACTGTGCATTTAGCTAATCGGTGGCTGGGAGCGGTGAGAACCGCCCCGGAACGCGAGTGTACCTTGTGTACGCGTTGTGTAGGTCTCGCCGTGCTCGGAGGCGAGGGCGAACTGGTGTGATTGTTGTTACACTAGCTGTGGGTGTAGTGTTATCCGGCGGGACCCCCGGCGGTGGGTCCATCGTATCTAAGTCCTCTTCGTCGACCGGGTCGATGAGGACGTTTCGCGGGCGACGCTTGTTTACGTTCGCGTTTGTGTCCGGTTGGTAGTTTGCTGCGCTTACCACCAGAGGGTTGGGATGATGCTGGGCTCTATCGAAGAACCGTTTTGTCAAATCTTTAAAATGAGCGCGAATCGTCGGGAGTCTGCAATCGCTGTGCAGGTCGACGTTGCGCTGATACCATTGCGCATCGGTTGCGCGGCGGATAAACTTACTTTGAACTACTTGCAATTCGTCAATGCGCGTAGGATTTATATGTGCGAAGATCATGCATGCGTAGGACATTATTGGCCTTACGCAAGCTTTATATAACAGTAATTTGTGCCTTAAGGGCATTTTACTATGCTTATTCGTTAAATTGTGTAGCCGGCCGGAGACGAACGCGGCTTTATTTCGGACTTGATTGATGTGCGTAGTGAAAGTCATACGCGAGTCGAAAGTGACTCCTAAATATTTGACCGTTTTCTCCCAGGGGAGAGTTTGGCCATATAGTGATATTTGCCCCAACTTTCTGTACTGGCGAGGACCTTTGTAACGGTGTGGCGGATGGGGGTTGGGGGTGCTACGGGTGAAGTGAATCGCCACACTTTTTTCTGGATTAATATCGATTCTCCATTTGCGGAACCAATCGCCGAGGCGGTCGGCGGCGCTTTGGAGTCGAGTAGTTAATTGACTGAGGTTGCGATCTGAGTAAAAGAGCGCCGTGTCATCCGCGAAAAGCGCGAGATTGACGTGGGGGTCTCTAGGTATGTCGCTCGTGTAGAGCGTAAATAACAAGGGTGAGAGGCAGGAGCCTTGTGGTACGCCGGCCGTGAGGCGGCGGCTTGTGGAGAGGGTGCCCTCGACTCGATATCGAAAAGAGCGGTTCAACAAAAAGGCCAAGATGGTGTGTACGAGCCTATCTGGCACTTTGAGTGTGTACAGCTTGTAAAGCAAGCCGTTGTGCCAGACTTTGTCGAATGCTTTTGCGACATCGAAGAAGAGAGCCCCTGTACTGATGTGTTTGGGGTGGTTAAGGCCTTTTAGGATGTGCTCCGTTAGGCGGTATAACTGATCGGGACAAGAGTGTCTAGCTCGAAAGCCGAATTGTTCCGTCGGCAGAAGGCCGTTGGAAAACACGTGCTCTTTGAGCCTGTTTAACAATAGCCGCTCGTAGAGCTTCCCCAGACAACTGAGGAGGCTGATGGGACGATAGCTAGAGGGCTTATTGGCTGGTTTATTCGGCTTGCGAATGCCGATAACCGTGGCTTGCTTCCAGTCGTCCGGAAAGGAGCAACTGGAGAGGAGCGTATTGAAAATTGTCGCCAGTAAACAGATAAGCGGCCCAGGGAGAGCTTTGAGAATCTTATTACTTACATTATCTGGGCCCGGGGCGGATTTTGGTTTTAAATTTTTAATAATATCTTGGACCTCTTCGGGGGTCACTGAATTTAAAGGTTCGCCTTCCGGTGGAAGCGCAGCCCTAGTCTCGATTACGCGGTCCACCTCCGTTAGGTGGGCCGAATCGGTGTGTTCGCGCGATGGCGTACATTGCTGCTCTAGGTTGTCCGCAAGGCATTCGGCTTTTTCGGAGTCATCTAGGGCTACTGAAGCGCTATTAGGTCTAACTAACGGCGGTAGAGATTCGCGGGGGTCTGCTTTCAGACTGCGGGCCAACCGCCAGTAGGCGGTGTGCGATGGCTCGATGTCCTCTAGGAGAGTGTCCCACGTTGTGTGTCGGTGTTCCGATACACGATCTTTGACTTCTAGCTGAAGGCGTCGAAGTAGGGTTCGGTTCGATTCCGATCGGTATCGGTCGAAGGCGCGTTTGGCTGCATTTTTCTGTCTAATTAGCAGTCGCAGGTCGGGCGGAAAGTTAAACCGTCGGTCACCCGACAGTTTCACCGTCCGTTCCGAGTCTGCGACTGCGGAAGTAATTGTTTCGCGGAGACTCGCTATCGCTCGATTTGCGTCATCGAACGTAGCTATCGTCTCGGGTAAGTCTACTAAGTCCTGGGGGTCCAAGACCTTGAGTTTGACCTCAAGACGATGCCAGTCCACTACGGATTTGGTCGGAGGGACCGCGCCGGCGTTCTGGCCCAGTTTACACAGGACGGGCCTGTGGTCTGAGTCTAGTTCATGGATTGTCTCTATCGACTCGATGTCGAGCGAGACCTCCCTGAATAACATTATGTCTAGGACACTCGGTGACGCGTGCTGGTAGTTGTCCATCGGATAAGCTAAAGAGATGCTTTCCGTTGTTGTTTGGGATGCTGTTAATGTCCCATGAGCCGTGTTTGCAGTTTAGATCTCCTGCAATTATCACGGAAGGGCCTAAGTTTAGAAACGTATCTAGGTCGCTTTGAAGGAGGGTTCTATTCCCCGAGAGGTAGGCTGAGACTAGTACAAGCGGCCTGTGGCCGGTGAGCGCTAACCTACACGCGGATGCCTCTATTTGACTTAGCTCTGGAATGTCGAGCGGGCAACAGTGCAAGGACCGTTTATAATAAATTAGTGTGCCTCCCAGACGGTTTGCTAACCGATCGTGGCGGACAATATTGTAATTTGCGATTCTGGGATCGCGTACGCTAGGTTTCAAGAATGTCTCTTGCACTAGGAAAATATCTACATTATACTTTGACCCTTTATGCCGTTTGCGTTGAAATACGAAACAACCAGAGCCCGAGGTTTTGATCTACCTGCGGTTGTACTTCCCATTAAGGTGCCTTTATGGGTCTAATTAACGACGCGGCGGAGCGCGGTTTTATTGCGCGGACTATTGTTCTTTATGGTTGGCTCGTAAAAGCCCAAAGGGCTTCCACAAGCGTTTTGTGTTGGCTAATTGCCCTAAGACGCTCGTGGCCAGATGTGGCGGCCGCTATTTTAGCGGACAATACGGCGAGTTCCTGTCTATTTATTCTATCCAATAAACTGCAAATGTTAGCTATTTGCGCGAATGGGTCGTCTTTGTTTTCCGCGAAAACTGACGGAATTGGCTGCACCTGCGGCCGTGGCGCCGTTTGAGAGGCGGGCAGCTGTTGCGCGATCGGTCGTGAGGCGACCGGGATTACCGGCGCGGTTACCTGCGCGGCCACCTGGGGTTTCGCCCAGGCGTTAATGACGGGTACGGGCGCGGGAATGTATTTGACGGGCGCGGGTTTCGGCAACGTAGACTTCGCGGGAGATTTTCTCGCGGGAGTTTTTGGGGCCTTAGCGCAGCCTCTATAACTAGCCGGATGGCCGGTAGTGTGGCAATTAACGCAGTCCGGTGGATCTGCGCAATCTTTCGGCCTCGTGCACTCGGTTGTGCCGTGGTCACCGGTGCATTTGACGCACCTTGGGTGAGCGAAGCAGTTATTGGCCGTGTGGCCAAAATGTTGGCAGTTGTGGCACTGTGCCACAACACCCGATTTACGTGGGGGCTCGATGACTAAGTCACTGAGCCCACAGACCCTCTTAAGGTTGAAAATGGCCTTACCTTCCGGGGTAGGGTCAAGTTCCACCATGACCATGTCCATAGGGACACGGGTGCGAGGGTGCCTGATACGACGCACGGCGTGGACCGGGTATCCCTGAGTGCGGATGTCGACCTTAGCCATATCGACATCCGACTCTTTTGGGACGCCCTTTATTACGACCCGAAGTTTACGCTCTTCGGGTAGTGAGTAGGTGTGGAAACCTACCTTAGCTTCGCGCAAGTACTTTGTTACGCGGCGGAAATCGTCTGACGAATCGAGGTATACGCGGATACCCATATTAGTGTTTTTTGACCGGGGGTCTCGGATGTTGTGGCGTTCAAACCACGAACAAACCTGGTGCCACTTTGCCTTATCTTGTATAATTATTGGCGGCGGTGGCTTTATTTTTCGCTCGGAGGCGAATGTTGGTTCCGACTGGGCAGACGCGGCTGCCTTTTTGGCGGGCGTCGCGGTGGGACGGTTTGACGGGGCGGCCTCGCTTTCGGGGTCGCTGTCGGTAGCGGGGCGTTTCTTGCCCTTTTTTCGCGATTTGACGACGGTGAAGCCGTCGGCGCTCGCGTTGTTAGCGGGGGTCGTTTCGACCTCCATGTCTGAGCCGCCGTCCGATTGTGAGTCGGGAACGACAGCGCGGAAGGGGGAAATGGATTGCGCGGAAGGCGCGTTAAGATCGATCGCGGCGGCGGAGGTCGACGCGACGGGCGTATTAATTGTCGCAGAGGGCGACACAATAACTGGCGCAGAGGGCACCGGAGATGGCGGCGAGGCGACTGCCGGTGAAGCCGGACTGTCGCTAGAAAATTCGACGGCTAGGCGCCGTTCCCTCGCGAAATTGAGGAATTTTGCCCATATTTCGGGGCATTCCTCCCGCAGGAACTCCTCTAAGAGGGAACCCATGACGCTTGTGCCTTTGGGGCTTGCGCCCCGCCGGCGTGTGTTTTTCTAAATAGGCCTCCCCACCTTGCGGCAGGGAGGTGTGTGCCTAAAATTAACCTTTAGTCGCCTGCGCTTTAGGTGCGCAAGGGTGAGTACCTAGCTGTCGCCTAATGCAACAAGCACACAGGTAAAATTACAATGCCGCCTCTGAGACGAGAAATGTGTGTAGAATTCTACTTACGGACAGGAACCTGCCTACGAGCACACAACACTACACTAACACTATCCGCTCGGAAGTCGGGCAAAGTTTCTTCTTTCTTCTATAATGTTTTTTCTTTCTTCTATAATGTTTCTTCACTCTTCTTGCTTGAGGCTTCCCTAACCGTAGACCGCGAAACACGACAACGATGAGGCAAGCAGTGCACACCGAGAGATAAAAGAAATGATATTAGCAACAACGGTTGCAAGATGGCTTCCGGGTCGGTTGGCATGGGCCCTCCGGCTCAGATTAACGTCCGTTCCGTGTGGAAGCACGAAGCGGAATGGCCTGATGCTAACTGTTAACCGACGCCCATGGACGTTTGCAATACCCGTAGGGTTTCAAATGCTTTGTCTTTTAATAACGTAGGCCCCGACTACCTCACTTATCAGACGAAACCCAGACAGAAACACTTCCACTTAACGCCGTTCTTCTCTTGCACTAATGGACGTAACTGCCTATTAGTGCAACAGCGAAGACTGCTGCGTGGCCCTACCAGTTGAAATAATACCACAACACATTGGTTCAGATATTAATAAGCTGTATTTCAGGTCATATGATTCATTCGATGACTCCGTGGCGCAGTTGCCAAGGTATTGGTTTCGGCGTCGGGATTCGTGGGTTTGATCTCCACACGGGACAACTATTTTTGTGCATAATTTCAAAAATCCTCTGGTATAATGGCATAATACATACAAAATGTTCACATTGCACAGTTTATATTTTAAAAGTAGCTATTGTTTAATGCAACGTTTTCTTGGTTTATTTTGTTTATACATTAAAACACGTAGAAGCGGCAAGGGCGGTCCCAATTTCTTGATATTTGGAGAATACAGAAGCCATCCTTCGAAGAACACGTTCGACTAAACAGCTATAGAGGCAATCAAGCGAAGACTAATGCTGCCTAACTGCTGCCGGCTAGATTTTTTGTTCATCTTCCAGATGGATCTTAAAATGTTATCGAGTAATGGATCTTTACAAACTAAGTTTTGGGGTGTTTATTCCAAAGAAGGTTGAAGAAGGGTTGGGCGGGCGGCCGGTCACAAGAAAAACCTAAAAAACATTTACATTATTACTGACATTTTGTATCTACCCCACCTAGGTGGGATAAAGTCAGAAGAGAGGAGAGATATTCACCAATTCAAGCGTTTAAAAAAAACAAACCATATTAATTTTGTTTATCTGCAATTTTAAATAAGTAAAAATGAAAATACAATCCATTATAACATTCTGAAGTTATTTGAAAAATGGGGAATATGAAGTCTTATTCTTGAGATTATATTAATTTTATACGGTTAGAAATTGTATTGTTTTGTCACCTATGTGATCCTTAAGGAAATACAATACGGCAAACAGTATGGCAAGATCTTTTTATTTGTTTTAAATATATTTTACAAACAAAAGCGGTCATCGTGTTACGCAAATAGAATATAGGACATATTTTAATAACGTTTTATTATTTATTTACCAAAGTAACTACAGACAGCCATGATGTAGTCATTAAAAAACTTAAATGTTACGATAAATTCTTTATTTCATTCATATATTTTAAATTAATTATTCTACATTCACGATATAAATATTATGTTACTTAAGTAATTTCTGTCGAAATTTGTTAAAGCCTTCGCACTTTCGGACTCTCCGCACTATTAGATAATTTCGATTTAGTATGCTGTAACAAATAAAATAACACATGTTAAGAGCAGTTATTTAAAAATAATAAAATAGTGGCAGCTGTCTAAAACTATTGGAATTAAATAATTACCTCGTGCACTACACGCCGGTACGTTTGCTGACCAATCACAGCTCTTCGAATTATAGTTGAACGCTAGGCCGGGTGGACAGATCATCAATACCAGTACTCTGTTGTAGCACATAAGGAACTGGTCACAGCTGCCGGTACTTGAGGGATAGATTTCACCATTTCTGCAGTTGGTTGTGACGGAAGGAGTTATGGCCGGTGCTTGTGACGTTACCTTTATTTCCTGTTTCGGTGCTGATGTAAGACATGGTTCAGGCACTTTTGGTACTATTTGGGTGGGAGCTGGTGTTGAGGCGCGGGTAGTGGCGGGAGATTCACAGGGAGCAGTGGTCGAGATTTCTGGTTTTGGTGTGGGTGTAGCGCATGGTTCTGGAACTTTTGGTACTATCTGTGTGGTCGCTGGGGTAGGGGCGGGTGTTATACAAGGAGCGGCAGTCGGGATTTTCGGTTTTGGGGTAGGGGTCGTGCATGGTTCTGGTACTTTAGGTACTATCTGAGTAGGTGCAGGGGTTGAAGCAAGAGAAGCACAGGGTGCAGCAGTGGAGGGTTCTGGTTTTGGTGTGGATTTGATGCAAGGTTCAGGCACTTTTGGTATTAATTGGGTGGTTGCAGAGGTGGGAGCAGAGGTAGCACAGGGGGCAGCAGTCGGTTCTGGTTTTTTGGTTTTCAAGGTTCAGGTTTCGGTATAATTTGGGTGGGTAGGGGTCGGAGCAGGTGTAGCGGGGGGGGGCACTGGTTTTGGTGTGGATTTGATGCAAGGTTCAGGCACTTTTGGTATTAATTGGGTGGTTGCAGAGGTGGGAGCAGAGGTAGCACAGGGGGCAGCAGTCGACGGTTCTGGTTTTTTGGTAGATGTGATGCAAGGTTCAGGTACTTTCGGTATAATTTGGGTGGGTGCAGGGGTCGGAGCAGGTGTAGCGCAGGGGGCAGCAGTTGAAGGTTCCGATTTTGGTGTAGATTTGATGCAAGGTTCAGGCACTTTCGATACTATTTGGGTGGGTGCAGGTGTTGTGACAGGAGTTACACAAGTAGTATGGGGAGCAATACCCTGTTTTGAAGTTGACGTAGAACAGTGACAGGGCGATGATTGCGATGGTTTACTTTGTACCGGTATGGATGACTGTGATATCGGTGCCGGCACAGTTTGGATAATTCCATAAGATCTCCAATCTCGATATTGAGGTTTTGATTGCACTGTAAAATAAAATAGCAAATGAGATAGAATAAAAAAACAAGAAGTCTAATGATAAAAACCGTTAAATAAATGTTCACGTTTTTAACTTCACTTACCCTGTGCTGTCAAAGCCAATAAGAAGGCAAAAAGAAACCTCGTTCGCACCATGATAGAAACAGATCGTGTAACGTGTAACAAAAGAACTTGCACAGACTGTCGCTGCACTTATATTTAGAATGTGTCGATATTTAAAAAAGTGAACATTTTATATCAAAATGGTAAATGTCGTAGATACTTAAAATATCGACTAGTCATTAAATTATAATTATTACGGTATGCAACCAATTTCTACTGTTAATATGTTGTTAATTAGCTAGAGAACAACTTTCTTTCTTATTTTAAAGTAATCATAACATAATTAATTCTCTTACAAGGCAATGAAGATAACTAGTAGGAAGTCTCAGTAACCAGAAATGACACTTCGTAGCAATGAAAGCAACTTTTTAAAATCCTCCAATAAAATTAACAAAATAAAATTGAAAGCACAAATGTGTAGATTTTTACAAAGGTTAAAGTAACGGCCTAGGTATACATATCCCACTGCTGGGCAAATGCCTCTGTGCAGAGGGTATTAGGGCATAGTCCAACACGCGATGACATTGCGGATTGGCAAACCACATATGGTCGGAATATTTATTTATTTTTTTGAAGGAAAACAAACAGCTATATACTGGTATTAAACTAACATAATAAAAATTACTTAGTACATAGTATAAAATAAAGTCGTCCCGCTGTCTGTCTGTTCCTATGTATGGACGTAATGGATCTTGATGCGGTTTTTTTTACTAGATAGAGTTATTCAAGAGGAAGGTTTATGTCTAATACATTGCAACCGTGCGAAGCCGGGGCGAGTCGCTAGTACAGTAAAAAACTCTAACCCGGTAAAGTTTCTACCAAAAGTAAATCCATATAATAGACAATACGGTAGAACTTGTTTTACATAAATGAATAAATTACAATGAAACTAATTATATCAAAAGCTCTGAATAGAAATAATATATTTCTTTTTGTTATTATTACGAAAATATGGAGGATTCACGATGTTTCATTCATCACTGAACACTTGATAAGTTAGCACTTAAAATTAGCAATTTCATTTGTGCTGGCACCGGTATTTGAACTCAGGTTTTTTTTGTGAAAAGTTGCCAAGCGAGCAGACGGTTAACTTGATGTTAAGTGAATACCGCCGCCCGTGGACATCTGCTACACCTGAGGGTTCCAGATGCGTTGACTTTGACCTTTTGAAAATTGGGCTCCGGCCACCTCACTCACCAGACAAAACGCGAAAGTATTAAACTTCCACTTTACGTCGGTCTTCTGTGAGGTCGTGGTACTTACCTGAACGAGCCTAAGGTTGCTCGAATATAATGAATTAAATGAATGGTTTGATGAAGCTGAGGTCGATGTAGCTTTAAAAGTATACGGACTGAGGGCAAATACATTTTTTTAAGTAAATTTGTATTAAAGAAGGAGTTACATTGTTACAAAAGTAATAACTTAACTCAGTATGTTCCTGTTCTAAAATACTTGTGCATGGATAAAGGTATATAATAAGGTCTATGTGTTAGTCAAAAGAAGCATTTTTTAGTTTATTTCTGTAAATAGGAACCAATTATACGTTTGAAGAATTAAATTGCCATAGTCTTAGGATTAATATGACAGTTTTTTTAATCCAAATAACTTTAATTATATTCCTGGAAGAACTGGCGCTTATGGAAATTAGTGACAATCAATATAAGATACAAACATTAAATTGGTAACCAAGTGGTCGCTTTTTGAGGGTCGGTGCCCGCGCATCCTAAAGATTTTACTCTCATAATTTTTCAAAGGCGCCAAAAGTAGTATAACTTCAAAAACTAATTTAAAAGACATTTTATATTACCTCGAAATGTGAACCTAAACCATTCTCGAATCCACTTAAACACACACAAAAATATCATCAGCCATTTAGTCACGTACATACGCACAATATAAATAATAATATATGTAAAGATTTTCGGAGATTGACTTTCGTCTATGAAAAACATTGAAAAACAATTTCACAATTAAATGAAAACAAATCATCATCATCATCAGCCGCAAGACGTCCACTGTTGAACATAGGCCTCCCCATTAGAACGCCACAACGAACGACACGAATCCGGAGAGCTATGTCGGTGACTCCGGTTCTTCGTTTTTTAAAACAAATCAGATAATCATAAAACATACATCATTTAACTTCATCATCATCATCATCATCATCATCATTTTAGCCTGTTAGAGTCCACTGCTAAACAAAGGCCTCACGCACAGACTGCCAAGAAACACGACCCTGAGCCACCTTTATATTTCCTTCTTTATCTGGATTCTTGTATATATATACCAGAATCCAGCGATTTTCATGAATGACGAAGTATGTGCATAGATTCAGGGGCGAAAAATCGATCTAGCTAGGTTTCATTTTTAGAAAACATCCTTTTATCCCTGTCTTCAGGGAATGAAAAATATCATTCGAATATGACAGTAAATTTCGCCGCAAAAAAAAAATGTTATAACAGCTCGGTCGGTAATCGGACGGCCCCCAAAACAGACGGCCGCGGTTCGTATCACGATCATTTACCCACTTATTTTTTTTAATGTTTTTTCTATACCAGATCATTTTATTATTTTTAATTTTTTTTATTTCCGAAATACATGATTGAAAAAAAAACCGAGCAAAGCTCGGTCCTCCAGGTACTATATCTTTATAATTACAACTTAATGAAATAATTTTTTTTAAATTTACATTGAACTGACATGACATGAGATTACATGAAACATAACTAACCATTATATTTGTTTTTCTTGACTAAAAGGGCTACTCTTACTGTAGGATTACATCATCCTGTTTCATCACTATCTTTGTACATATATAATTTTCTCGTAGAAGTAACGAAACGCGCAACAATTATCGACCCATGATCTGGCAACTACGTCACCGAGCCATCTTCACAGAGGATTTGTTTATGTTTGTAGCCTGCTTTTTTATATGGCCACTATGGGAATTGAAAAGGAAGCTGACGTCTGATGTGATTATAAAGTATTGTTTGAAAAATTATCATCGAGTGTCTGATTATGCTGAGTGCATTAATGCCCCAGCAACGTTTAAGAGTTATTTAAATTTTATTTTTAAAACTGTGTTGGTTTTTTTTTTTTTTTTTTTTAAACTGTGTTGGTTACAAACATTTGTAGTGAATAGAAAATATAAATATAATATTCGTATTTGTAATGTTGTACGCAATATTCTTGGTATCGTGTTTTTTCCTGCAGCGCGTTACAGTAGTGTTCTGGGTTGAGCAGAGTTAAGCAAAGTTGTGCAGCGTGCACCGCTGATGCAGTGGTGGTGGGGCCGCGGGGAGAGAGGAGTGTCGGTATTGCGATCGTGGAGGTTTTAGTCCGACGTGTTGTGCAGCGTCTGCTATTTCTTTATCTGAGGATGATAGTATTAATAGTGCTTTTACATCACTCATAGTAAAAAAATATTAATTTATTAGTCTGCATAAACACATATGCTAAATATACGAAATAAATTTGCTTACTTTTGATAAATATCTTAATTACTTTTACGATTGTCCTACTACTTTTTTTTAAATTTCATTACAAATTATATTCAGTATTGCCCATGAAAAATTTATTACCTGTCTCGACTTTATCGTGACAGCTCATTACTAAATTGAAGAGTTATCTTTCGTTTTTTCGCTGTCAGAGTGATTGGAAGTTTGACGTGTTTTTTGTAAACCTTTTCGTTTGGATTTATATTATTACCTCGTTGAGATTTCCATTCTATCTGTATTTGTGTTTGTTCGTAGTTTTTGTTGGTAAGTAGTTTTCTTAGTTTGTTATATGTAGTCCCTGTTACTTATTATGGAAATTGATGGAGATTCGGAGCCACCGGATAGGTCCAGTGACGTAAACCGTCGGATACGTTACCCTCTATTCATAAAAAAAAGTAAACCACCTTAATCAGCCCTCGGCCTCCTATGAATGTACCTACACTCACCCAAATTTTAATGATAAAAAGAAATACACAGACAATGACAAGGGACCTTTTATTGTACATCTGAGTAGAACAGAACCAGATCTTTCCTCTGGCTATACTATTCAGCCAATAAAAATTGGCCACTTTTTAGCCAGTAATAAAGTAAAAAACAATGTTAAGCATGGCATCTCTAACTTGGGACGGAATAGGGTCTCAATTGAATTTAAATCTCCCTCTGATGCTAACAACTTTGTAGATCCTCTTCTCTGCAATTACAAACTTTCAGCTGCTATTCCCCCTTTCCATGTTTCTCGCATGGGCGTAATTGGAGGCATCCCTACAGACATTTCCATGGAAGAATTAGTGAATGAGTCAGAACTCCCCAGCTCCTGTGGAGAGATAATTAAAGCTAGAAGGTTACACAGAAAGGACATGAAAAATGATGAAGTAGAATGGATTCCTACCCAAACTGTGGTTCTAACCTTTTCTGGTAAAGTACTTCCCTCGCACATATATTGTTTCTTCACTTCTATCCCTGTAGAAACTTACTTGTTACCATCAATACAATGTATGAACTGTTGCCGCTTTGGCCATATAAAAGCTCAATGCCGATCAAGACCAAGGTGTTATAAGTGTGGTAAAGAGCACACAGGGGACACATGTATTTCAGACACCAAGACATGCTTATTTTGTTCAGGCAACCATAACGCCATAGATAAATCCTGCCCAGAACATGCCAGACAGAAAGCTATCAAAATAGTTATGTCCCAAGAAAATATCTCATACCTTGAAGCCTCTTCAAGATTCCCGGCAGTTAGACGACCTTACTCTGATATTGCTGC